ATCTCAATGCAATATTAATGATATTATTGGCAATGCTATCTGTTAGATCTTGTGCTCGACGTCCATTTTGACGAAATACATCAAAAATACGTGGAAAGTTTTGTTCAATTTCTGCGTTAGAAGTGCACGAAATCATCACACCAACGCGGACATGTTCATCATCGTTGTCCGTGCGTGAGGTTATGTAGCTTAAATCAGATATAGATCCAATACGTGACATACGGTAGGGTGAAGATGGTGGCTTTAATGGAGATAATGGTTTTGTTGTCTCTGGGTTATTGTTTTGAAGTATAAACTTCCAGGAAATCATATAAGGAACTTGTTCCGGGTAGTATTCAAAGTCCATAAGTTGATAAACACGATATGCACGTCTGGCGTATACTTCTAATGCAGCAAGACTAATCCATGCATCATTATGGTAAAAGAAATTCGGCAAGACATCAAATACTGCAAATCGCGTGTCAATAAGTTCTTTGAGAGAATCATAACTTGGAGTACGATAGTCATAACCATCATCACCATAATGACTCTCAATAACAGCTGCTTTAAGAATTTGTTCCATCTGTACAGATCGTTCTTCATATGATGGTAGTTGACAATGTATTAATAATTCACGAGCTTTAAGTGAAACACTAGTAGTAACTCTTCCCCGAAGTTCGGCCAACTTTTTTAGTACAGGAGAGAAGAACTTGTCAAGAGCATGTCCTACATTATCGGACTTAAGTTGATCCAACAAATTTATGATCAGACTGTTTTTTGCACTAACTTTTGAATGTGACAAGACAATTTTAATCACTTTATCTAGATCGTTCTTATAAGTGTCACGCAGAGCAAGGATAACCTCCTCTTCACGTTTATTAGAGTCCGAAAATAATGCTTCAACTTCATGATACTTATTCAAAAAGTATATTATTTCACTCCATTTACGATATTTAATCCCCGACATGTATCGATTGATAACCTCCATTAAAGGACTTATTGATGACGTAAAAGTTGCAGAATCACCAAGAGCAACAAAATCTCGCGAATAATTATCGATCAATTGTTTAAGATGTTTTGCAGGAAACTCGTGATCTTGTTTAGCAGTTTCATCTTGCAGAGTAGCATAAAGCTTTGTTGGAATCCTTCCAGGAAGTGTTGATAAAACAGAATTAAATTCCAAATAAGGTAGTTCAGGATTTCTAAGAAGATCGATTATTTCTTTAACACTACTTTGTAATTTTGTGTGATCATCATAACCGTCCAAGATATTTTCAAGATTCTGTTTAACCTCAACGTATCTTTGATGAGCCTTGTCACCTATTATAACTGGTGGGCTCATTAAAGGAAGTTGGCCTTCATAAAGAGTTGCATGACGAACATGACTTGG